ACTACTCTTCTTATACACTACTACTCACACATATATAATATATATATATATATATATATATATATATATATATATATATATACTATATATATATATCTGTACTATTAATTATCAAGTACATCAAACAGCAATCGAGTAACGGTAGAAACTACAACCAGTATTAGGGTTTTTAATAAAATAAAATATCCAAATTCGAAACAACCATTCATAGTCAAGAAATACCTCAACGATAGATTCTCTGTCATTACTTTATGGCCCATGATACGAGCAAGAGATACCGCATCTTCCTCTTGCGTCGAGTGAAAATCGGTTGCCTCTGGTTGGTTTACAAATAGGAGATGCAGAGGCGCTATAAATTAGCAACAATTTGAAGAACGCGGGAGATATACCACTTCAAATACTAAGGTGTATTGGTCTTTCGATGTATTGGTCATTTCGAAATCGAGTGATTTTTAGATTATTGTGGCGTTTTTTATATACATATTCACTGACATTCATCATTTTTTTAAAGAGCTTGTGTATAATATTTCAGTTCTCTATAGATAATTCTGTCCAGATTAATAAAGTACTAACATACAGGAATATGTTCAATATATCATTGCTGACATAATATACAGAGGTAGAAATATTTGACCAATAATCGATCTAGATCATCCATAAGTTTTCAAAAGGAATAGTAAGCTCGCAAACTTGCTCAGATAAAGAGCGCCTTTGGTCAACTTCGAGACATCTTACGGCTATCTACTCTTAGAACAATACCAGCACCACAGTGAAGCCTATGTCACTTGAATGGTAAGTTCATAACCACGTGTTGGATTCTACTAGCAGGGAGCTAGCAATTATTGCAACTGCGTAAATATTAATTGATAGACGTGTTCATATGTATCCAGTTGTGACATATACATTAATGAAGGTAGTTAAATTATTGATCCAATACCAACAGAAATAAAACACATTTCTCACAATACCTCTGTTGATGGCAGCATTAGGAACACCAAGATGGTTTGTTACCGTATTCATAGCCTCTACAGAAGCTGACAATGCACCAGCCACATGTCCGTCCTTGAGAGCTCTCCTATCAGTGTACGTGACGATGCTCTTCAACCAATGAAACCCAAAGAGGATACCTAAACAAACTAAACATCGCCATAAACTCGTCCTTGGCGTAGCCCATGGCGTAGTTCGCCAGATGGGGTATTTCGACATTCTCGCCATTATCAAGTGCTCGGACTATAAATCAATGAAGTCTATCGCCATACTTGATTTGCAACAACACGACGCTGTGATGTAATGCTACCCAACTAGTCTTTTACTCGTGTACTGTAGGGTATGTAAATAGCTTGATCAATGATCATTGTTGTAATGATGTTTATCTAGCATATAAATAATGCAGCCCGCGTCGTCATGACCCTTCCCATCGCCTGCCAATGAAAAATCGCTTGCTGATATGTCATCAATTTCTCTACTTTATTTACAATTAGTACAGAGGGATTGGTACGTATAGATTGCCCAAATCAAACTGTCACACGAACACAGGGCTATTTTTAAGTATTTACTTTAGTTGAGAAGGTTTGTCGCACATACATACGCGCCGCATCACTCCAACATAGCGTTTCGAACAGGACGTGTTCTTTGAAATTACTAGAATTATTGAACTATGGATCAACACCTATTCGGCGGCAGTGCCGAAGAAGATCTGATTATTGCACGACTTCATAGCAAAAATAGTTTGGATGATATAAACGACGATGAACTATTTGACGATACAGACAGGTATGTACTCAAACCCGTATGAGAAGTATGGAGAGTTGCTAAAAACTTTATTACATGAAGATCTGCATGCCAACTGTATGCAATGTTTGCTACTCGGGAACTGCACGATATGACGAAATGCTCTATAGACATGACTGTAGCAGAATATACAGTTGCAAAAGTATACACCTGTTGGTGTTGTGCTAAGCGCGCATGTATATACATAGTTATTTATGCATGCCTACCCAAGCACACATATGTCTCTAAAAATCAAAATATACAATCCGATACAGCAAATG